CTGCTCGCCCGGATCTGGAGGTCAGAGTCTGCGACTCCCTCCCGATTGTAAACAATCGCGCCCTCCGCGCTGCCAGCCCCGCTCCGCGCGCACTCGGTACCTGAGAATTTCACTTCAGCACTGCGTCCCCTCTGAGTCTGGATATAATATTCTCTTTACTCCTAGTTGTAGAATTTCCACTCAGCCAGCCCGCCTGTGTTTCTGGATGTTGTAGGTCCCTGGTTCAAGCTTAATTTGAATTGGTTGTTCAAGGCGGCAATCTCTGGCGTTAACCTATGCCGCCATCTTCGGTTCTCTCTCTTATTTTCTTAATTACATTTTTCTGTGTTCTCCAAATTCTTCACAATGAGCATGAGATACTTTCATCACTCTTTGGCGCATCTGTCCTCATCTGTCGGTGAGCAGAAGCCACTGCGTGAGTACCACGTACATGCCCAAAACACCACACAACACTGTCCCGGCCGCCTCTCGCGCCGCCGCCACCGTCCCGCAGGCTCCTCCGGCTTCTGCCAAAACTTTTCCCATTAATACCAGCTCCGCCGCGGCCGGGCGTCACACGCAGCGCCCGAATCTAATATTTCTTAAGTAACCATGCACTTCACGTGAATATAACTAATGTAGTCCACAGAAAAATCCCGTGGATAAGTATTATTTTATTCCCTGATGAGGAAACTGACACTCAACCAAAATAAGTATCTTAAAAAACACCATTCATCTAACAAAAGAAGGAAAGTTCACATTCATTGAGACCTTCCTGTTTCAGGGACCATGATAAGCTTACTATACACAACTTTCAAATAACCCTACATTATACTTAGTACTGTGTCTCCTTTTATAGATGAAGAAACTGAGATTTGAGGAACTTAAGTAGCTTGTTGAAAGACACAAAGCTAGTGAATAAAGGAGTCAGAATTCCAGCTCTTGTCAGTCTGACTCTCAAAGCCCCTGCTCTTTCATTGCAATTGATGCCTCTAATATTAGCCTGAGAAGGGAGAGTGAAAAATTAGCTCAGAGCCTCATTCCAACATAACATACAAAATTTTTCCAATCTCTAAAAGACAGAAAAGGTTATGTTGGCACATATAGAGAGAGACTGTTCATGAGAGGGCATCACTACAAAGTCCCAGAGGCCCAGAGAAAAATGTTTCAGACCGTCTTGTGGAGGATGACAAATAATTATTACCCGCTAGGTAATAATTATAAACTAAGACCTCAGGCCTCCTCCCACCGCGCTCCCGCTGAAGGGCGCTTCCCAGCACCTGGAGAGCAGGGCTGGCGCAGGGCCGGTCTGCCTTCCTCCTCACCCCCCGTGGCCCCAGCAGGCTCCTCGCCCCCACCATGGCGAAGCAGTAGGATGTGCTGTTCCGGCTGCTGCTGATCTGTTACTCCGGAGTGGGCAAGACCTGCCTGCTGTGCTGTTTCGCACATCTCCACCATCGACATTTCTTCCAGCCAGACAGAGATGGGCAAGACGGTGGTTCTCAAACTTAGTGTGCTGCCTGATACTGAGGCTGCAGGTCCGGGGTCCACGTTTGCAGAACCGCTGTCCCCAAAGCTGCTGTCAGACGTGTGATCTATGGACCAGCAGCATCACCCTCCCCTGGAGCCTTGATGCAGCATCTCGGGCCTCATCTACCGCCTACTAGATCCGAGTCTGCATCTCCCCCGGGCCCGCGTGCCCCCTGAAGTCTGAGAAGTGCTGCCTTAGGGGAGCCAGGGTGTCGACTTCAAGATGAAGACCATAGAGGTGGATGGCATCAAACTGCGCATACAGATTTGGGACACAGCGGGGCAGGAGAGATATCAGACCATCACAAAGCAGTACTATCGACGGGCCCAGGGAATATTTTTAGTCTACGACATTAGCAGCGAGCGCTCTTATCAGCACACCATGAAGTGGGTCAATGATGTGGATGAGTACGTGCCCGAAGGTGTCCAGAAGATCCTTATAGGGAATAAGGCCGATTAAGAGCAGAAGCAGCAGGTGGGAAGAGAGAAAGGGCAGCAGCTGACCAAGGAGTACAGTACAGCATGGACTTCCATGAAACAAGTGCCTGCACCAACCTCAACATTAAAGAGTCTTTCACGCGTCTGACAGAGCTGGTGCTGCAGGCCCACAGGAAGGAGCTGGATGGTGTCCGGACGCGTGCCAGCAAAGAGTTGGCGTTGGCAGAGCTCAAGGAGAATGAGAGCAAACCTGAGGGCCCAGTGAACTCTTCAAAAACCTGCTGGTGCTGAGGGCCCTGCGTGGAGCACCCACAAGTCCCCCCTCCCCTCAAGAGGCCTGCGACAGACAGGGAGTCCGGGCTTTGCCCTGCTTCTCCTCTCATCTGGGTGACCCTATGGAACATCAGTAGCTGCTACTTCCCCAGCCTGGCCTTGAGGGTGGCTCCACTATCACCTCTGAGCGGCCCCCACCCTCTCCCCCGATTCCCGCCACAGCCTGCTATGAGCCCCGATGTGAGCTCCCCAGACAGTGGCGTCCGGGGCTGAGGCCACTTTGAGGCTCCTTCTCAGTGCATCTTGTCTCCTGTCCGCTTTTCTCTCTTCTTCCCACTTCTCTCTCTGTCCCCCCATGCCCTGAGCCCTGTGCGTCCTGCTTTGTGGCTGCTGGTGCAGCTCCTTTCTTTCCATTCTTCCTAACCCTGTCCAGGGGGATGGACTCCAGCTCCTGGGAGAACCCCCACCATGCTCTGTGGGTGGGCCAAAGGTGGGGAGCTTCTTCCCACCTCCCCTCCACACGTCCTCCTTGGGCCACGGGCCCTCCTCACCACTGACCTGGGAACGTGAAACATCAGGTGAGGAGGAACGTGGTCCTCAGCCTGGGGCTGCCCTACCTCTCACTGCCCTACCTCTCCCAGCTTTGGCCTTGCTTGGCTGCCTGCCAACCTGCCTCTTGGGGAACTGGGCTCATAGGCAGGTGCTTCAGAGGAGAAAATAAATGACTAGGAGTGGCAGGGGTGAAAAATAGACCTCAGGAGTGACGTTGGTTTGTTGGATGTTCCAAAGACACCAAATGTGAAAGATGAGGTGTTCCCAGAACCTACTCTCATTCTGGCCTTTTACAATGAGTCTAAGATCCTTTCTAAATACAACCACCAAATTTATCATTTTCAATTGATTTGGCCATGTTAGGTAAAGGGCATTTGTTTATTAAACAAATATTAATTGAATACCTACTAGGTGCTAGGCAATGTGTTGTAAGTTGGGGATACATCATGTTGTTCAGTTGACTAGATAGTGCTACTGTTCACCAGATAGGGAACATCAGATGAGGAGAAGGAAAGAAGGAAGATAAGGAGGTTGAAATGGACTCGGTGAAGAAGTTAATGAAGAAAGATTTGGCAGACTAAACTGAGTCTGAAGTGCCTGAATACGGAGAAGCATGAGACTTGGTTGGAAAGCTTGTAAGGTGGATATTCCAAGAAAAGGAAAGTGTGTGGAAAGCTGTCTGCCCTGTTTATCAGAATTCCGACTTAGGAGAGACTTAGAGGAATGTAGAAGGCAGCACCCCTAATTATTCCTTGACCTTTCCAAATAAGTCTGTGCATGTGTAGACCCCCAGGTGTTTACTGAAATCCTATGCTTAATCCCTGGATGCCCTTGCCTAGAAGACAATGTAAACACATGTGTCTTCCCAAGATTACTCACCCTACTGATTGTATCTAAAAGATAAACTTTATCTCAAACTGCTCCTAAATAAAAGGTTAACGAAGCAGGAAATCAAGGCTGCCTGGTTGCTATCACCAGGGTGTCCCTTAGCCCTCTCTTTCACAGCAAACATGTTGGAGTAATCCATTCATCCATTGCTCAGGGTCTACTGGTCAGTCCTGGCACCTGAAGGAATACCCACCGGAAAAGCCTAGTAAAGTAGTTCAAATTAAGGGTTTTGCTCTAAGGAGACAGATCTAGACTAAAAACTATATACTTGAGAGTGACTGACATATGGCAGATGGTAACTGAAGACCTGGTGGTAACCGGATCATCCAAAGAAACAGGGTAAAGTGAGAATAAAGGGACTTAGATAAACGGAATTCTGATGAGCATTATGTTTAAGAGACATTTGTCACTTTTCCTAATTTCATATGTAGCAAATAGGCACACTCTTATTCATTCAGTCATTCATTCAACAAGCACTTACTGACTGCTTACTATGGGTGAGGTACAAATGAATGAGGTATGACCCCTTGCCTTGAGGAATGTTATAATGGATTGACAGACCAAGAGCTGCCTATATTCCTTCTGGAGGAGAAGGAAAGAAATGGATGTTTCAGAGGTTCATAGTGGAACTGAGGTTTAACCTGGACCTTGCATAATAAATAGAATGGAAAATAGCAGAAAAAATCCAACTTCTGTATATTTGTGCAATACAGCTACTTAAATACTATTATTGGGATAGACCAAAAATATGCTGAGATGAATATAATAGAAAAGTTAACTTGGGAACAGTGGAATGCAGTGTGTGGGGGGAATATCGAGGAAATGCGTAAAAGAAGGGGGAGAAAGCTAAAGGAGGAAGGAGTCTCTGCATTACTGGGGGAAAGGGTTTTCTAAACCAATAACAACTGGGAAGAGCAGCATCCAATGTGGGAAAATAGAAAAAATATATTTGCCAAGGCTCTTCAATTGCAACCGCTACAGGTTAGATATCCAAAACAAGTCTTACTAGAGTACAATCAAAGTGTTGGCAGGGTTGTGTTGCTTTCTGGAAGCTTTTGGGGAGAATCCATTTGTTGGCATTTTCCACTCATTTTCTTGGCTCATTGGCCCTTCCTCCATCTTCAAAGCTACCAACATAACCTCTCTCTGTACCACCTTCATGTCTCTTTCTGATCACAGCCAGGAAAAGTTCTCAAATAATAGAGACTTAGTTAATTAGGTTGAGTTCATTTGGATCAAGAATAATCTCCCCAACCCTGGCAAGTTACTCAGTTGGATAGAGCATTATCCTGATACGCCAAGATTGTGGGTTCAATCCCTAGTCAGGGCACATACAAGAAGCAACCAATGAATGCATAAATAAGTGAAACAACAAATTGTCTCGCTTTCTCTCTCTCTCTCTCTCTCTCTCTCTCTCTCTCTCTCCTTCTCTCCCTCCCTCTCTCGTTCCCTCTTGAGCGTGTGCACATGCATTCTCTCTCAAATCAACAAATAATTCTTTTAAACTAAAAAATAAAAGAAGAATCTCCTCAGAGAGGATCCAAGATGGTGGTGGAATAGGCAGACATTACACTCATCTCCTCCCAGGAAGACACTAGAGTTACAACTAAAATATAAAACAATCAACCTGAATAACCAACTGAAGACTAGCTGCAAACCCTTATAACCAGGGTCTTACAGGAGACATGGCAAGACTGGTGGGAAGGGTGGAGATGCAACAAGGGCTGGCCGGCACCACATGTGGCAGCTGAGAATCTGGAGGGATACCATGGTGTCAAGCCCAAGCCAGGTGTCCCAACCCATAGCACCAAGTGCAGGAAGAGGACCCATGTAACATCTGACTGTGAAATCAGCGGGAATTCTGTCCACAGGGAGAGATGGGCTTCTGCTGGAAACCCAG